AAACCAAGCAACACAGCACAAATTACGAAATTACATTTAGGGTGATCAGTATTTATCTGGGCATGAAGCACTAACTCTTCTTTGTCCTGAATGAAGAAATGAATTGAAAATGTATGGCAAGCTACAACATTTTAGGACATGATGTGTGAATATGAGAATAATTTATCTGTGCCAAAATTCCCTGCCTGGTTTCTATTATATTATAAAGATCCATCATAACCACCCTTGTAATGGCCATTTTCTCAGCTAAATGATTCACGTGTCATGGCAGCCATCGTGAGTAAGCTACAATGGCCATAGTCACTTGCTATTGTTCCAACTTAGACAGTTTCCTGGATAGTGGGGCAACAAACCACCTTGACAACCCATGGATGCTTCTAAGGGTTGCTCAAACCACAATGGACTGCCATGTTGTCTAAATGTGGAAAGCTGATTCCATCATGCTTTGTGGTTTGGCTTACAATCTGCTCAAGAAGACCAACAAAGACTGCTTCTGCTTTTCACAGTCTTGTTCCTTTTGCTGCAAGGGATAGCTTCTTTACTGATTCCTAAGCAACACTTTGGAGTGATTGTCTGTGATGAGCTAGCTCTTTTTTAGTCCCAAAAAATTGTGTTTGCTATTTTTATTATAATTTTTGTTGGTCTTGTGCAAATATGGACCTAGAGATGTCTGATATATGTAGTTTTGCAATGTTAGTGGTTATATAAGTTCCAGCTGTCAGAAGGAATTGGAGTAGGTAAATTTTAGAAGGCCGAGACTGTATATAGGCTAATGTTTGCACAGTTACCAGATATCTTTTGGCTAGCTTTCTGTCATGTCTGATGCCCCACAGAGGCAGCACCTCACGAGGAGGATTTATGCTTGAGACCCTGTAGCCAAATGTCTCCTCCACAACCTAGCTTGGGAATGGCTGAACAGATGGCCATACCTCATCCTGACCCTTTACCCATTGAGCAAATAGTCGAGCCTACATCAAAGCAAGAGAGCTCCGAGGGAAAAGGCACTATGAATTATGCTCATAGAGGGCCTGAGCAGACTGCCCCCCTTCCTCCTGACACTGAACCTCCTGAGCACGACACAGGAGACACAGAAGGCAGAGCAGACCTTTTCCGTGCGACTCTTAGGCGTTCTCTGCGCAGATTGGAGCAAAACCAAGCTTTGTCCCGCCTCAGGGAGGAAAGGTGGGGCCAAGATAGCTAGTCCCTTGTGGGTTCCCTGAGAGATGTCACTAAGGAGTTAGCATCTGCATTGTAAAGATCTTTTCAGTAGAGCTTATCTGTAGAGTTGTAAATCTTGTAGATAAGTAACAATGTGGGTTGTTTACATAGTGATCCGTCATTCACAACACTTTCAGCTGAAAAGATAAGAGACAAAAGAAGTGAAAACGTATAGGTAGTCCCCACTTACACATGAGTCCTGTTCCTGAGAAAATGAAAATTAATCTTTACATTGAATTTGTATGCAAGTCAGATCATGTATAGCCGCCTTTCCACATTTGTGGGGTTAGGGCCGCAAGACCCCCATAAAAGTGGAAAAACCACCAATATCTCTACCCTCCTCACCCAAACTCACTAGCACCTCCTCTTTGCAGCAAAGAAATGCCAGAGAGATGTCCCTTTCCAGGTGGACAGGGCAGGAAACTGAGCAGCCTTGCCTTGTCAATTGCCTAGCTGTCAAATAAACATTAAACAGGAAAAAGTAGCGAAAGTCGGTACACCAAAGGTGATGGTGACAATATCACCCTCATAGCAAAGTAAGTACAGATCAGGGAATGAGATGTAAATTTGCACAGATGTAGTAACTGCAATTGACCCCTCCATTTTTATTTTCAGCTGTTAAATTTGTATATATTTCCATTCTATTTACTTTCCCGCCATTAGTATCTGTTTCTCAATCAAATATATGAACAGTTTTTTAAACAGTGAGGCAAACTATGGTAACAACAGGGGTACGGTCTCTGAAAAGGAAACCGAAAAGGTTGTGGAGAGTTAATATTTCCCTTTTCTGGCGCAGCTGGAGTCTTGGAGATGTGTTGAAATGTGAAGAGCACTTTGAACTGTTATTTCAGCATTCAAAAATCAGAGGTTTACATTGCTAAGAGTGTGATATTGTCACCCCCTCCCTGCTTTGCTGCACCTACTATTGCTGCCTTTTCCTGGTTAATTTTTATTTGACAGCTAGTCAAGACTGCATTTAATAGATGTCTGTCATTGTGCACTTAAGTTTCTACAAAAGGCTAATAAAAAAGACAAATGGTCGTGCAGTTTTCAGGGACTGAAATAAAGACTCCAACTGCACATTTTGGAGGCTCAAAAAACAACAATAGAACAACTAGAGAAAGGAGGGGATTATTAGTGTGGAGATGGGAAGGCAAGATGGGTTCTGTCATGAAGGATGCTGGGAAGCTAGCTAGAAGATGTTGGCACCTAAGTGAGTGAGCCCAGTTATCTGTTGGACTCCCCATGGACTGTTTCGTGAACAATTCATATTGTGTAGCTTATTTGCGGGGTGCTTTAACATGATTTGCAAACCTGCCCAATAGCTTAACAATTCTTGAACTTTTCATCCAAGAAACGTTGGCATACTTTATATAGCTGTTGCTTATATGCTCTCTAAACTTATCCCAACATTTTTGTAATGCGATTCTTGAAACTGCACAAAATGTTCTAAATGTTGTGACGTGTATCAATTTTGTTGATAATGGCATTGACACTTTCAGATTATTTTAAATTAATGCCATTAGTACTGCATGTAGCTTTGCAGTAGGACAATAAGCTGACAGTGTAAACTTCAGTTTTCAATCAGCTTGCACCATTTTCTGTGTTACTATTGCCAGTTTGTTTGTTTGTTTGTTTGTTTGTTTAAGAAGCTTCTATGCCGCCCCATTTGCCGAAGCCTCTGGGCGGCTCACAACAATAAATAACATAATAACAATACAAAAACAATATAATTGGAGACGTCCTGGCCAAAGATGTAAAATAAATAAATACTATTAGCAATTAAAATGATGTTTAAATAAAAAGGTCTTTGTCTGGCGCTGACAAACAAATAACGATGGTGCCAGGCGGACCTCTCTGGGGAGCGCATTCCATAGACAGAGCGCCACCATAGTGAAAGCAGAGAAAGCCCTCCTCCAAGTACTTACCCTCCTAATGTCCTTCACGGAGGGTTCCCAGAGAAGGGCCTCGCCCGCTGAATTTGTATTATCCATATTTCAAGTTGGGTTGTATTTACACTTGGTCCAAATATGTATCGGTTTGTATTCCACCTCAGGCATACTAAAATGCACTAAACAACACAATTAATTAAGATGGAAATAAGAATGACAAAGATGCCGCTGACTGTATAATTTTGCATCATAATTTTGCTCTGGTTAATGGAAGTTTGGTACAGTTTCTGTCTTGTTTTTTGAATGCACTCCACGTGCTCTTTGTGTATGCAGAAGCCATACTTTTTTTTAGAAAATGGGCCATTCAGTAGTATACTTACAACATTTGTGGGAAATGCTGTCCATAGCACTTCTCTGAGTTCACAAAAATACTATTCAGTCTTGCTTTCTGCCTTTGCTGTCCATAAAATCATAGGATCGTAGGGTTGGAAGGGTCTGGAAGGCCATTAGGTCCAACTGCTGCTGTCGCAGGGCACCAGTTCAGACCAACCCACTCAGATGATGGTCCAGTTTTGGCTTGAATGTCTCTACTGTGGGGATGCCCACAACCTCTCTAGGCAACTGATTCCACAATTGTATTGCTCTGACAGTGAGGAAACTTTTCCTGATTTCTCACTTGAACCTGGCTTGTTGCAGCTTGAATTTATTATTCCATGGCCTACACTTTGCTGTCGGAGAATGTTAGAAAGGTTTAAGAGATTAATTTTGAACATTAATGAATGTCAGTGAAAGGGTTGGGTGGAGAATGCAGTGAATGCATTGAGGATTTTTCTTAGATTGCATCCTAAGATGTCTTAGGATGCCATGTCTGGTATCCAAATGTGTAAAATGGAAACGAGCAAAATTACCTAAATGAGGTAGCCTCAAGTGGAGAGATAGGAAGTAGTGTCCTAATATATGGCTGTTGTATAAGAGTTAGTCATCAAAAGCAATAATTTTCTTGATATTGTGAGAAGAATTTCCAAGAATTAGGAGATGTGGCAATGAGAGAAAAAAATGCTCTGCAACCATCTATTAAAGGGGAGATGAAGGGTTGCTGGTGTGAGAGAATTATATTTTGACTGAAAGCAGGCATATACATCTTAAAAATAAACACAAAAATGAACGTGCCTTTGAAAAATCATCCCTTTATTTTTCCTTAAATAAACCATCTCCTCCTCCTCCTTTCTCCTCTTGCTTTTTCTTTTCCTTTAAAGAATAATAATTGAACAGTAAAGGGAAAGATATTATAAGGAAATGAAGGTAACATTGAATATACATTAAAGAATATATTAAAAGGGTGTGCTACAGTTAGTGTGTTCGTTCATTTGTGTCTTATAAATAGCAATGATTTGTGGTACTTTAAAAAATGAGTTGAAGATCTGCAGGAAAGAACTGGCTGTAGATGTAGCTTAAATAGACATGGAGATTGTAAGTACTGGGGCTGGGCAGCCTTTTTCTACAGCCTCTCTAAATCATTTATATAAGCAGCTATATGCATTGCAAAGATGGAATCTCTTTGAATCTTAGTTTCTATTTAATCTGAAAATTAGATTTAGAGGGATGAAATATTAGCATTTCTATCAATAAAATTGAATAGAAATGGGTTAATTTGATATAATGGTAGAATAAAATGGTGATATCCCTATATTAACTATAATTATTTAATTTATTTTATTATAGATTTCCATTTATTTCATGAAGAGTAGAACTTTTATGAGCAGTAATTCAGAAAAATGAGAATACATTTTAATGGCATGGCCCCTTACTGTTTTCAACTATAGTATTTCTGATACTGCTTTTCTTTTTTGCACCCAAATTTGCTTTTTCAACTATCATATTTTCCTTCAGTTTCAGCTCAAAGTCTTAAGAGCAACCTTGATTCCATGGAACATCAGATACAGCGTTTGGAAAATGATATTAAGAAGTTCCCCAAAACTGAAGATCCACATGACAAATTTGTTGAAAAGATGGTCATATCCTTTGTGTATTTATGACACCATTGTGTTTGCTGGTAAAATATTTAAATCACTATTTATGTAGCTTTATGGATAATGTTGTGTACGCTTTTCATATGAAAAGCATCAAAGCAAATAAGCCTTGACTGTAATAGAATGTATTACCCCAGTTTTCTAGCCAAGAGTGTATATTCAACCTATGTCAAGTGTATTCTTGAAACAGAATCAGAAAACTATATTCTTGTGGCCATAAGTCACTTAATTATTATCTTATATAACTTTATCTACTTTCAGGAAGAAGGGGTACACACGTCAAAGAACTCGACTTATGGTTTCTGTTTGTTTTTCAGTCTCTGCTTCTTGTAGGAATTGATAAGAAATCTATTACGTTGGCGGCTATAAAGGAATTGAGGGGAGTCCTTTCTCCCTTTTATTACGGGATACTCCCAGAATGTTTAGGCAAGAAGGATTAAGTGGGCCTCTGTGGTGAATATATCAATGGCTTACCAAAGTTGCCTTCTACTGTATTAGAGGACTGATATACGATGTTCTCTGATTGGTGGTGGTTCTCCCGGGACTTGGGAAGAAAATCTTTTGCAGCTCAGCTGAAACACTTCTTTATTGAAGGTGGCAGAAACTGAACTACGCACATTCTGCATTGAGAGCAAGTGCTCCATTGTCGGGCTGTATTTCCTTCTTGTGTTAGAAGCCTTTGATAACTTTCTTAGGCATGAAACTGTATAATGACTTTAGTAATTTTAAAAAGTAGAAAAAGTCTTCATTCTAATGGATACTAGGGCAGTATCCAATAAATGTGGCTATAGATAATGTAAACATAAAATGCAATAAAATGATTGGATATAGTTCTCAGGGAATTGAATACACTAAGTAAAACAAGTGAAGTTAAAAGTTTTAATCTGGTATGATGAGAAGTGCAATGTGGGCATTTTTCTCCATACCGAATGCATTCTGTTATCAAGATGCCACAGCCAGGTTTTTGGCTTTGCTTTATTTTGTCTGTTTTTATTTGCTTTGCTTTCTGTTTGCTTTGCCAAATAATGTATTGAAGACGCTGTAAATCTTAAGAAACAAGCAAAGTGATACAGGGAAATACAGACTAACATAGGGAGTTGGCCAAATTTGAAATGAGAGGGGAGGTGAAACAGGCTAGAGCTTGAGTTATTTATTCAAAATAGTAGCAGATTTTTGCTGTTTAGGAAAATGGTGATAAAGAAAAATACTCTTCATTGTATGGATAAACACTAGAGACCACTTGTTAGTAGTACTTTACCATATGAAAAAGTTGACCATTCACATCTGTAATAGGTAAGTAACTATTTCCCTTTTGCTTGGTTCCTGAAAAATGTATCCCTTCAGTCGTATAAGTTGGAATATTCTTGTTTCTTAGTTTAATCATCTTGTTTCATTGAATCCTGAGTTGTCACTTGCCAATCTAGAACTATGGCTTGTTAACCACAAACAAGCCATAAAAATAAATCTGTAGCTTATTGTAGAGTAGTTTAATGATGGGTTGCTGTTATGCGTGGACCCAGAAACATAGGTTGTTTCTCCACTGGTCAAAGGCCAGTTCCTTTTCATGCCAGAACTGCAGTGCCACAAAGGCAATTGGAAAACAGATAGAGAGTGGGTGAAGAAGAAAAAACAAAGCAGGAACAATAAAATAAAGCAATATTTGATTACCTACCAGAGAAACCCCGAGTAGTGCAACAAGCTATGCTTTAAATAAACCATAGGTTTATTTTTCATGCAAATAAATCCATAGTGCCAAATTGTGGCTTGGTGTTCCATGAACAAGTTGAGGGTCACATTCTCTATCCATAGTTGCACACTCAGAATTGGTAGCTTCAGATGTAATATTAAAATATGGTTAAATGTTTTCAGCATGAAAGAACAATTAAAATCTTGTCCTTGATAGTTGTTGACACCCGTCCCTCTTTTCTGCTTTTGGTTTATAGTATATTCTGTGTATTGATCAACATTAAAACATTGTAATCATACACTTGGTGAGAAGTTACAGCTGTGCAGCAGGAATGTTGTGGTAGTGTTACTGAAAGTGACAGTAACCTGTTGATTTCTTTGTGGCAGTCCAAGGTAGAACTTTCTATCTGTGCTGTCGCTCAGTCTTGAAACTTTGCCACAGAAGAAATAAGGTAAGACATTTGTACTATTGAGTGTTTTCATGCTTCATGATTTTCAGTGCTAATTAAGATCTTGAAAGCCCAACAATAAAACAGCTTTACTTCATTGTATTTCTCCATACTTTTGTCATAAAAGATAGAGTGAAGTGCAGGTAATTCTAATTTTTAATCTGGTAGCACATCTTGTTTTGTAATTATCTATAAGCTTTAAACATATGATAACACTGAAATGAATTTGGCGATTAGACAGGACAGATAAGCTTGTCAAAAATCTGCTATTGTAGCTAAGAGTTTACAAGTCACATGTTGCCTTGAGTGTATTTGGCTATTTGGTATTTATAATTTGTGTGGTATCAAATAGCCTAACTGCACATAGCAATTGCATAATCAATGCATAATTGATCTTGTGTTTAATGCCATACAGAAACAATATTGTAGCAAAATATTTTAAAAATCTAGTGTGTATATGTGCTGTTTTTACAGCAATTTATAACCATTTAGTTTCTGGTGGCACAGGCTGAAGTTATGGTTTAGAGAGAGAGGGCGCCAAAAATGCTGTATCCATTTGTGCAAATTTTTTGGCAGGAAGAATTCTGAGATGTAGTGCTACACATATATTAATCAAAGTTTTGTTTTCTCCCCTTTTGAGTTAATGAGCCTGCTTTTGAGTTAATGTAGATTATGCTTTCTAACTGAGCAAATCGTGCAAGGAAAAGCATGAAGTCATTTGCTTTAAAGAGAATGAAAAAAGATTGAAGCCTTTACAAAGTCTTCTACAAATTGATTCATCAGAATGTCAGGAAAGGGTCCCATCCAATGAGAAGGAAATCCACCAGTACTGTTTCCTCTTGAAGCTCTCCCTTGCATAGAAATTTGGAGAATGTAAAAATTATTAGAGTCTTCTTGTTCACTTTCTTACCTTCTCATCCCAACCATAGTGCAAAAAGAAAGTAATCCCTGCCTTTCAGAAGCATTTTGCACTTTCAGAGGAGATGAGGGAACTAGAGATGATAGAAGCTGGTCAACAGATAGACCCAAAGCTTGTGGCCCACTGCCTCCATAAAGCATGAGAAGGGAATTTCAAGTAAGTTTCCCAGTGAGCAGAGAAAAATGAATCTCTCTCCACAGAACAGATATTCACTTAATTATGTTAAGATGTGTTGCTGAAGTCATTCCTGTGACTTCATTAAGAAGATTAAAAGAACTCATAGAAGAGAGGCCTGTTAACTGCTATTCATAACAGATCTATAAAACATCCTTATTCAGAGACATTATATCTTTGAGTGCTTGGTATTGCTGCCCTGTTTTGAACTTGCTAGTGCTCTGTGGCACACCGGCTGTTGGTTGTATGATACAACAGCCCGCCAAGTTATAGTATGGGTAGGGTATATGTAGACACCATTTTAGATACCGCCCCAAACATGTGAGTTGCATATTCAGCTTAGTATGTGCCTCTTTATTTCTGCCTCACATAACATGCTGAACAGAGGAGGAGTTTAGCCTTCATTGATATGTTCTCAACACTGTGTGTTGGTTCAGACAGTAGCAGTATGAATTGTTCTGTGTGTCAAATGTGCTTGTTTTTATGGACAAGTGTAACACATGAGGTATGAGATCATTCACTAGAAGTCCCTCATTTTGATTGTGTGTTTTCCAGTATCCAAGATCCTGTCGGTCGCTCCTAGATATTAACCACAATTTTGCAGCTCATATATTATGTTTGCTACTGTATAATTATTTCTGTTGAATTTCTTTTCAGTGCATGTCTAATGAATTGGATGGCATGTTATTACTCCTTCTGTCACTGACTAACAGAAGCTTCAGGGCAAGGATTAAATCTAAGAACAAAGCACCCAGTCCTCAATACTCAAAGCTCTGTTCCCTCTTCTGTGTCAGCCTTCACTTCCATCTTAGTAGCAGTGAATGGAGCACTCAAAAGGCAGACAGAGTTTCTACCAATAACCAAAGGAGGAAGATTCTTCAATGGGGCTGCATGTCTAGAAGACATAATCTGGAGTGGTCTTTCTAAAAATGGGGGAAAGTATATCATACTCTTTGACTCCTTGAATGAAATAGCCAAAAAGATAAGAGAATCTTCCCTACTGCTAGATATAAAGTTTGGGGCCCCATGTGAGACTCTCACAGTTATACATATCTCTCATATCTTTCTAAGGGGACCTGAAATAATCTAATCTTAATTTATGTAAACGATCTAAATTATTCTTTTTATTTTTACGTATTAGGGGTTTTTTGTGATGATCATTTGGGAATTTCCTCAATGGGCAGGGTATTTGGCAAAACAGAGTGGGTACTAGTTCTTTGTTAGGGGGCTTGTTCCCCCTCCTTGTTCCTGGGAGTTTGATTTGCGATTACTAAAATTGTCCCTAATAGTGGGGCTTCTTGGTTTAACTCTGGACGATCTGGCAATTCTCCCTCAGGCAGTCTCAGGATTTGAGATGGGTCTTGGATATGATAAAAGGAATTCCCAAAATCATATTTACTTATTTTTATTTCATGTTTAGCTTACTTCTTCTCTGAAATGTTTCACAGAGTAGCATATATGAGGTAAATAACAACTAAGACAGCTTCTGGCCTCAGGCGTACAATCTAAAATGCATGAGACAAAAGTGGGGGGGGAGGGGAGGGGGGAGTTATGAGAAGGAAAGAAGGAAACAAGCAAATGCATGCTCCATGAAAATGGTTCAGGAAGAAGAAGAGTCAAATGGGACTGATCTCTCAGATTAATTGGTGAAGTTGCTATGCTTTCCCTGTCTTGTCTTGCTGCAGCCTGATGGAATGGAATGACAGTAGTGGATATTATGATTATTTTTTTGATTCAAACATTTCTTATTGATTCAA